CATTTTCAATGCCTCTCTGCTCCTTAATGAGCATGGGCACCCCCCTTTTTTATTTCAAAATTGAAGTTATCATATGATAAATATTCAGTGGACAAAGTTTGAACAAAAATCTATTGTCACTTTTATTTCAGAGGAATTACCTTAATAAGTGATTTGGTGACACCTGGCTAAATGATTTAGTGGTATCATGCCAAGCTGACAGTGGAATTTGTGAGGAAGAGGATGTCAATCAAGTTGTTAGGCAAAGTCTATTTTGAGTAATTAGGAAGCCAGACATGAGACATACAGAAATTTCATTAACATAAACATACATACATCTTTATTTAATAGATATGTAGATTACATAGTAATGGCAGCTAGAAGTCAAAGTGGACCTGTAGTTGTAAAGCTATGAAAAGTTCAAAATATTCAGGGTATTTAGGACAGCACTTAATAATAACGCATAAAATCCAGTGTTGTTTAAAACTTTGTTTACACAAATGCTTCTGAGATCCCTTTCAAGTCTGACATGAAAGTGAACTGTTAACTTTGTGAAACAAAGTATTGATCTGGAATGTCAATTAATATTTTGAATGTGAATGACTTAACACCCTCATATTTTGCATCATGTAAACTGTCAACTGTAGTTTGGCTGCAAATGTTATAAATATGAGTTAATATTGAGAGAGTTACTGGGATTAACTTCCCTATGTATGACTCTGAGCTTCTTCTGTCTTTTAAGGAATGCAATGTAATCTCTTAATTTAGAATAATTTACAACTTTTCTGTTGCTCAGAAGTTACCCAGATGGAATAAAAGTTACCGGCAGGATGGCCTGAATATGGACCAGGACATGGCTGACAATGGCTCTAGGAAGATGCATATGATGTAATACCTTGCTTATGTGTGCTATCAAAAACGCGTAAAATGGGACAAAAAACATGAAATAGGACAAAGAATGAAAAATAGGACAGAAAATGAAAAACAGGACAAAAAACGCAAAAAGGACGAAAACATAAAACATGTCCAAAAAACGTAAAATAGGACATAAAACGTAAAACATGGCAAAAAACGTGAAACAAAACATAAAATAGGACAGTCGAACAGACGTAAAATAGGTCAGAAACGTAAAACATGACAAAAAACGTTAAGACAAAAACGTAAAACATGGCAAAAACGTAAAATAGGACAAGAAAAGTAAAGTAGGACAGAAAAGGTAAAATAGGACAAAAAAGTAAAATAAGAAAAACAGATGTTGTTTCACTTTGGGTAAGATAACATTAATATAAGTTAACTGGAAAAGTTCCGGAAAATTAAAGGCACCACCAAACCTTTAATTCCATAAAATTTCGATAAGGTTGTGCATCAATTTTCATTCCCTTTTGTCAGAAAAAAGTACAATACAAGCTTACACTCAGAACCGGTGGATTCGCAAAAATGCCATTTTGTAAACCAGCAAAGTAATTTTCTGAGTAATTTATCCAAGTCACCATTTCACTTATCAAAATGATTTTTAAAAGCTTTTTAAGAGTTTGTATCGTACGGAAATTTCGAGGGAAAATTAGTTTTTCGTTCCCTTTTATGAAACTGCATCAAATATTGAGAACCTCACGGGTCTTACACCTTCTATTGCTTCTGTCAACGTACTGGGAGGAAGAAAAGAATCCACTAAAAACCCACGCCTCCTCTCTATTATCTCGCCACAATTCAAGGGAGATAAATACTCCTCTTTCTGTGTAGTTGACTTGTGAATAGGTTCAATCTTTGAGGCCCAATCGGCCATCAACGTTCGGATTCTCGGCATGCGACCGTCAATCTCATTCCCAGTGTCCGCGCGACTGAAACGAGACTTCCAAACAGTTCTGTCAGTGGTCGAGACTCTGCCCCACCGGAGAATACGAAGGAAAGCAGCGGAACGGTTGAGTACTTCAAGACCGGTGAAAGACGACAACCAAATTTAGTCAATGAGAGTTATTTTTCTAACACAACTTACATTGCTTTAAAACAAACAAGCCAGTCCGCAGGAGAGGAACACATGAAAAGAGTCTGGACGAACTCATTTTTAAAAAGTTACCAGCAGGATGGCCTGAATATGGACCAGGACATGGCCGACAATGACTCTAGGAAGATGCATATGATGTAATACCTTGCTTATGTGTGCTATCAAAACCATCCAGTTCGTCTGGACCACACGTGGAACAGAAAAACCTTGCAGGGGCTTATTCAACTTCCTAAAATTCAAGTCCGTGAAGAAGACACAAGAATAACTGGGTTCGAACAGTAAGAACGAATAATGAGAGTTTGTGAAGATTATCAGAGAAAGGGTACACTTCAAAGATGGTTACTTCGTCTCCTCCATGTCTTCCTCCCCTTTATTGTAGATTTGGGATTATCTTCAAACCTAAAAGCAATGCTCTTGGAAAGACGAGTGAGGAGGGGTGAATCTTTTAAGGCTTCTGAAGTCTTTTTAAGAAAAATGCTAGGTTTGGGAGAATGTCTCAAAAATTTAGAAACAACAAGTGGTCGTACAACTGGTCCTATATAAATCAAAAAATACTCTAAACATTATACCTTATATCTTTCATTGCTTTTGAATTTTGCGGCGGAGACATTTATTTTAAGAATAATATTACAAGGCTAGATTAAGAGGCTACAGCAACCAGCTATCAAAGATAAATATTTCGCGGCTTAAAATAGCCCAATGAGTAGATGATATTATATACATCAAGAAAATCTGGTTTTTCACCATCTACCCAAAAATTCCAGAAATTTCGGTCAGAATGTAAATGGTAAGGCAATTTTGGCTCGACCGACCCGAAAATTTTTGAAATAAACGAAACGTCTTGAAAGGTAGTCCAAAATTTCCAACCGAAATATCGGAATGGAAAATGTGCTTACCATTTGCAATTTCGCCGCCATCTTGAAATTATGATCAGGTCGAACTCGTCTTAGTCTCTTTCGGTGTATCGTTTTTTTTCAGTAAATGGTACATGACCAGCCTAAAAGGAACTTACCATCAGGCATTTTTGCTTACCATTTGCGCAAAACGTCGACGCGCCGGTTTCTCCGTGTAAGTGGTAAACAACCACTCTCTATGAGTTACACCTTTAACTTCTGATATGTATTTTTACAATGAAAGTTGGCATTAAATATGATTGAACTTTTTTGTGATCTATATTTTGGTCTATTTTTGGAGGGGACTTCCATTAGATTAGATATGGTGTGTTTATCACAAATACCTATTTTAAGGTAGTTTATCAGATAAGGGCATTTCTCACAAAATAAGTTCACGGAACGGCATTAAATATGATTGAACTGTTTTGTCATCTATATTTGGGTCTATTTTTGGAGGGGACTTCCATTAGATTAGATATGGTGTGTTTATCACAAATAACTATTTTGGGGTAGTTTATCAGATAAGGGCATTTCTCACAAAATAAGTTCACGGAATGGTTTGTCTATATTCGTTGATGAGCAGCGCGAAACCATCCTCAAGGTCGTAATTTCGCGTCTTCTAGTGAACGTTTTTCTACTTTATCCTTGCAAAAGTTATAACTGTTTGAAACGGTATAGTGTCGGCCTGATCCAAATAAACAGATCTGTCCCCACAATAAAGTGTATGCGTTTCCATATTCATTTTGCATATCAAGGGTGCAGAAAACGTGGCAAAAAAGAAAGGAAAAGGTTGGGGTCAATATGTGTGACAAAGAGGAAAGGGCGCCTAATCACAGAATGACATGCACTCATATTCGTTTCAGCGCAACAAGCCATTATCTGTAAGATAACTATTTCCATAAATATCAAGTATATAACCAGTTATAGCAGCAATATAACAACTCCGATATCATAAAGAACGATAAATATTACCACGATAACCTTTAACAATACTGGTTTAAGAGGAACTATCACAAAGCGTATATAAAGAAACAGATACTCGTCATTTCTCCAGTGAGTTTCCACTACCTGGTACAGAGAGCTAGTGTCAGAATGGCGTCAAAGATATCGTTGGCATCTTTGCTTCTAGTGATGCTTCTTGCTTCGTGGGGAAGCAAGCTAAGTTCTTCAGAAGAAGGTATTGAAATTTACAACCTCTAGGTAACAAAACACAAGCAACGAAAGATAGGAAAGTAACCTTTACTTTCTTTAGTAAGATAATGGTTTTTAATGATTTTTTTTTTTCATCTGATTAAGTCGTAAGGAAAACAATTTACAACACCACAGAAAGTTGCTGAAAAACTGTACAAGAAAACAGAACAGTATCTCAAAAAATTGCTGAATTATTCAACGTTCGGAAAATGTTCCTAATTCTATATCTATGTTTTTTTGCGTTTACATTGAATATTTTTATGCGAGATTGGACTTGCCCAGTGCTTGGAAAAGACAAAGTAATACGAAACAGAGTGTGAATTTCTGCCTCTACTCAAGAAGTTAAATTAAACTGTCAATATGGAGTTTATCAGATTGAAAAGGTAAATTGGGTCAGCTTTAAGTCTCCTTTGCAGCCCTCGGGTCGTCATGGTTGGTTCACACCCACCAAGAGAGGATGAAAGTTAACTCAGTTAATCCCCCATATTAAGCCTTATTCCATGGGCAATCTCTCTCAATGTTTTTCTTGGACGAATTCCGATTTCAGAAAACCCAGGAGGGTCTACAAATGGGCAATAGAGTGACTCGAATGAAGACACGATTGATCATCGCAGTTGTATAATTAAAGCCTGACAAAAATTCACGTTACTCACGTGGACAGCCCAAGAGGCTTTACACGCATTTTCATTCTCATCGAAAACATCTACCCAAAAATAACTCGACGGGTAAACCTTTGAGAATAAGGCCAATATGTGTGATTAACTTTCTGACCCTTTATTCGCTCGTGCTCCTACTTAGTTATTCTCCAACCCCATGTTCTACATCTAACTGTCGAATCCCTCCCATCTGGCAAGGAGTCCGTCTTGAACTGTTTAATTCCAAGTGTGGCTTTTTAGGCGTTCAGGAGCTCAACACATTTCGGCTGGAAGATCCAAACAAGGACCAGGATATGGCCGATGGGCAAGATGGGGATACCGACGTAGAAGTAGGAAACTACAGGCAACAACAGAGAGTCAGTGGAAGAGCACGAGGGAGCCGATCGTCCAAGAGGTAACGTCGAAAACTCCATCACTAATCATGTCATAAAATAGTGGCATGCTGGAAAACCCCTCATGTTGGACCACACAAGTGTTTTTTAAGGTTATAAATAGATCTTTGAAAACTTTTTTTTTATCATCGATGTCAGTTTTCATCTTTGTTCAAAACCGGAGCGTATATACCACATTTGGACCTTAACAAACTACTGTTGACCACAGTAATCATGGCTAGGTAACAAACATGTTCATTAAGCAAGGCCTTGGAGTAGGATATTGCGGTGTAGCACCTTTTTATTGCCTACGCTTGTAATTGAGACATTCTTGGAAGAGTTTAAGAATCTTTGGTAAACCTTGGAAATATCTCCGCAATTTCTATGAATGCCTTTGAGATCTTTAAGACTGTCAAAGTAAAGAATTGGTAGAAGGGACCATGACATATGCAACAGTTTTCCAGTCTGACCTGTTAATTTTTGGGCATGAATGACTAGGTAGACACGGACACAGATGGAGACATCCTCACATATACCCACCCACCCAATATACATCCATACGTCCGTCCATCCATGCACCTATCCATCCACAAACACTTACATTTGAACACAGTACTAGAAAACTAACCCGTAAATGCAAAAGAATCACTCTTCCATGCCAGGTGTGGACCAGACGTCACTCACTGGCTTGTTCACCAGATGAACCATAACAAGGACCATCATGTAATCAAACGTTGTGGCAGCTGGGCCGGGAGTTGGATATGGCCTTGGTGTCTTCGGGAATTTGCAAAACTTGTTGGTGACGGAAGACCATGGGATTTCAAAAACACTCAGACATTCCATCGAGGATCGTGCCCACATCGATGCCCGAAAACAGTGACCCTCTGCAACCAATGCGTATTCCATGACGTACCAGGAAACATCCATTACGGCTACGTTGGTCGTGCTGCTGCCTTTCAACGCCTGCTTCTGCAGTTTGCTGCCCACCGGGTTCAGAAAGGTGGGATTGACGACCCGAAGGATCAGAATGCCATCAGAATTGGAATGGATCTGTGGGATCACCCTAATAGGAGAGACCACTTTTGCCATGAAGTTCATAAGCACTCGTTGAGCAAGCATCACACTTCAGGCTGCCACATATGTAGCACGAGATATTAAGCAGACGAAAAAGAGACCTGTAACGAAACGTGCAAGCATCACACTTCAGGTTGCCACTCATGTAGCACGATATATTATTTACCTTTTTTTACATAACCGTGACAAAATATTGTAAGCTTGATCCTTTCTCGCTTCAGTCTTGTTTACTTTCTTCCAATGTAAGGCCGATAGTTTTGCTGCTCGATAAATGCAGCCATGTTCAAAGAATTAATAGAATTGAATAGCTACCTCGATGTAACATAGACTAAGTAAAATAAAGATACGATCTCCTGGCATTTATTCAGTGTTGTGGTTGATCCTCTCTCTGCCGAGTTTCTTCCTTCACATCTGTTCTTAACCCTTCACCAAATGAACTCTTTTTAAAAACAAGATGAGTGGTGGGTTACCCTGCCCGCGGTGGATAAACTGGTCTCCCTGCACGTAATCTTCAATGCCAGTCATACAAACTAGCTCACAATAACTATTGTTATGGAGAAACATATTATAGCTGTCATTTTGTCATAAAAGATCCGAGAGAATCCGGCCTTCAGAAACAAATCTCACGCCAGATTTAAAGACTTGAAAATAATTTAAAGAATACATTGAACAGCGTTCCCCTTTTCCAGGTTTGTAAAAGAGCTTTTGAATGGGCAGCAACAGTTAAAGTACGAGCAACCCACACTAATTTGATCGCTGTGGGCCTCACTGTTAGAGAGAGTCTCGTCTACAAAGCCCTATTTTCTTTCCAATGGTCGTTACGGTCAAGATGGCACCACAGCCAGATGTTCGAGTATCTACTGGTGCTCAGTCTCGTTACCTATTTAGAAGACCTAACAATGCCCTGAACCACCTTACATCGACCACCAGTTGCAGTGGCTAGCCAAGTTTCTTAGTCTGGCCATGCTACATGGGCTCAAAACCCTTGTTTTGAGGTTTGCATCTTATTTCTTTACGTGAACAACGGCAATTCGTTCTCAGGGTCTTGTTCTGACGAATGGCTAACGCTCGAAACGTCAGCTTCACTAACTCTTTACGGCGGTTAATTAACTTTTATCACTACCAGCTAATAAATAGCTACGTGTTCCAGGGGTGTAGCCAGAAAAAATGATGACTGAGGCAGTGTCCATGGTTAAATTCTCTTCCTAGGTATTTAACAGTATTTTACTTTACCCCTTCAAAAAGAAAAACAAAAACGAGACAAATGACTGAGGCAAGTGCCTCGGTTTGCCTCATACTGGCTACGGCCCTGTGTCCTTTTAAACTTTGTTCGACCTATGACAAGCTCGACCTATGAGGGAGTATATTACTCAAGACAGAGTGTAGCACAAGGATCTGTTTTAGGAAACAGTTTCTATTACATCGTATGGTGCGTTTATTTATAGAGGGTGTAATATTTATCACGAAATACTGACATTTCTGAGATAGTAAGTAAATTAGCGATGATTCATGAAATTGCATAACAACCTATACTAGCTTGCAGCCAACTGAAAATGAGTAACTATGGGATATTTTTGGAGATGTTTGTTGAACAGAACGAGAGTGTTTACTAGGGCGATATGAAGTTCATCTTATCTCAAGAACTTTACACTTATTAAAATATCTGAGATTCACGCAACACCAGGAGTAAACACGTTTGATGAAGACCGTGATGCTTCAAAACCCGCACAAAATGACAACTTTGTCAATCCAACAATAAATAGATTACCGCATAATTGTGAATATATTGATTTCTTTCTCAAGAAAAGGAATGAAAGGGGTAGATAAAAGGAAATACCCATGTTGTTGTGCAGCACAAGATATTGGCCTTCCAAAAAGAAAGCGACAGTCTGATTCAAATAAGGGGTTCCTTCAATCATAGTTAGTACTAACTATGCTTCAATGTGCATTTTGGTTAATGCGCGTTAAGGCTTTCATTCCTTGATCTAGGAGAGAAACACCAGGAGAAGAAAAGGGAAGGGAAAAGTGAAGAAAGGGAAGTCAACAAGCCACAAAGGCGAAGGGAGGGCCTGATCACTGGTTACGTTTTGGTTCAGCTGTGGCCATACCCTCCAATATGCACAAATATTCGTTCAAAGATGAAGAGCTGAATATCTGTCAGATAACTAGGCCGATAAATATTGAGGTTAAATACAGATACAGGGTCAACTTTGTGCTATATACTTCTCGGTGAATAAAAAAATAGCACCGGACAAAGATAGCACCTGCTGTATTGTCCATTTCAGATAATTTCAGCAAGAGGAAAAAAATTAGAAGATAAGAATCCTGATAAATATTATCAAGACCAGTTGTAGTAATACTGATTTGCTATTAACTATTACAAAGTACATGTATAAAGAAGTAAATGATTGCTAGCTGTCAGTGTGTTTCAGCTACTTCGGAGAAACAGCTTGCCCGAGTGGTTAGGGCGCCGGACTTGCAATCCGGAGGTCGCGGGTTCAAGACCCGCTCTGACTACTTAGCTGGAGTTGTTTCTCGGTAGACCCTAGTTCAACTCTTCGGTCATGCTTGTAAATAGTCAACTGGTCTGCCTCCTGCCAGTTGGGATTTTTAAGCCTAGATCATATGTTTAGTTGATATATTAGTTTCTTTCAGTATACGTGGTATGCCTGTGAACTATCTAGCTGTAGCAAAGCGTATTGACCACTATCAAACTAGAACATTTTAACATTTTTCCAGGATAGCGTCAAAGCCCCCCCCCCCCCCCCACCCCCAAACGATGTCTCATGACCGTTGATAGAATAGTGCAGAACCCTAAGACATCTAGAGTTGATAGACTAGTTACCAAAAAAGAGATCAACAAGTTAGTAGTGAGTTTTGTTTGACAGTAGACTTTCAGAAAAGTCGTCGAGCGCTCGGCCGCTTCGCTGCCTTCACACCGCAGCTTCGCGTTCTAAAAAAACTATTCTACCCTGAAACTCATGAGGTGGACTTGTGGCAAGTCTAGTTTAACAGATTCCGTAGCTTTTCTAAAAGGATCAATTCGGGTAGAATGGTTCACTTTATCTGTCAAGGATGGAGTAAAGTAAAAACACGATCCCCTAACATTTATGCTGTTGCTGCTGCTGCTGCTGCTGCTGCTGTGGTTGTTATTGTTTATCTCTCTTGATTTTCAACATGCACTTGTGATTTCACAAGCACAGTGTTCACAGAGTAAAGATTTGAAAAAAGCTCAAGTCAGTGTGTTATGTTTTTAACTGATTGAAACACCACGCGATACTCACACTGAAAATGAGGCTCTCTGATCCTGCAGAGTTTACACGAATTCAGTAATCCAACTAAAAACGCCCCTTAATGTAGAAGACGTGTTATGGACTTGTTGATATTGATGTAAATAGTTATTCATGTCCTGATAGTTGTAGTGGAGCTGTTGCCCATTCAAGTCATAATTTCAAATTCCAACACGAGGCTACCAAACATGTTTAGTTTTATTCTTTTTTTTCCTAGAACTATTAGATCTTGGAATAGCCTCCGTAAAGACATAGTCGAAAATAGTTCTTTGGAGTCGTTTAAGACTAAGGCCTCTGTGCATTTAATGATTAATTTATCCTAATGATTGTTCATATAGATTTTGAGGATTATTATTATTATTATTACTATTATTATTATTTTATTATTATTTTTTTTCCTTTATTGAAACAAATTGATATTAATACAGCAAATTAGTTACTTACCTACATAATTATAATAACAACTAATATTACTAATACTAATAATATAATACAACNATCAAAACAACAGTATCTGTAGTTGAGAGTACCGATATGTTCAAAACCAACAAGATCAAGTTTAAAGGTTAATATTACAATAAATAAAAGTAGTTTATAATCCGAATTAAATTGACAACTGCTTTCTGTCGACCAACAAAGTTTCCTCAAAACACAATTTTTTTACGCTTAAACGCCATGATACAGGTCGATACAGGAGTAAAAGCGCTACTTTTGCATTGGACTACGCGAATCGGAATGCTTGTGCAAAATAAACGAAAAAAAACCCACTTGTTTCCTTGACTGAATAAATATTTTTCAAGGCCGATTCTCGCCCAAGCTCAGAAAAAAGAACTTTCTGGTATTTAAAATTTTGTGCTACTCGCTCTAAGTTGATACTGATATTCTATTGTAAAACTGAGACCGTGTGAAAACCGTGTGCATTGAGAAAACAACTACTACTGAAATTAGAATTAAAAAGTAACAGTTAAAACTCGAGACGACTACAACAACGGTGAAAAAAAACGACATAAATAATACATAAAGACCCTTTTTACAACGATTTTTTACAACACTTTTGTACAATGATTCTTTAAAATTTGGAAAAATAAAACTCTGTAAGATAAACAAGGTCTGACGCACTGTACGCACCCAGCTTTATAAGTTAATCAGACCATTTTCCACGCCTAAAGGAGACACCGCTTTATTTTTTCTCTTCAAACTGATTTTTCTCTCCTTCACTGTTCCACTGCTGATGGATTCAGTATCCGCGTTACCCTCGGAGCTATGGGACGCGTCGCTTTCGAGTGAGGATCTCCGATTTTTGGTGCCTTCGGGATTGTGACTAAACGACCGTCGAAACACGGACGAAGGGTCACTGCTGAGGCGCAAGAAGGGGCCTGGGTCTGACGAATTGAGCCTGTCTTCCGTATTGTTACGTCGAAAGCTTGAGGACCGGGCCGCAGGTGCGGCTGCCAAAGAGGAGCCAGCTTTCATACTTCGCTTTATTGTTTCCTTGATGTGTTTTACCATCTCTCTCTTTTCCTCAGCCGTTCTGTAAGGAATAAATGGAAAAACTGTTCAGAACTCAGTTTAAGCCTGTAACCAGCGACCAGCGTCACTGGAAATAACACAAAGACTTAAAAGGAGCTACGGCACAGTTTGCCTACATTCAAAAGTTTAGCCTAAATTTTTCAAGTTCGTCGTTTGTAATCCGTGTTCATCTTCTCCATCCTTGACCATCGTTGTTCCTTTATTGTTTATTATTACCTCTTTGGTGTTTTCTATCTTTTCTATCTTACTATTTTCAGGTTTCCTTCAATTTAAAGGTAATTTTGGACGTGGCCAAAATTACAGAAGATTCCGTGACGGAGAACAAGGAACCGATTTGAGTCTTACTTGTTTGCAAACAAATAGTTGCATTCTTGTCTGCCAATCTCAGCTGTATCACTAATATTTACAAGCTCCCATGAGTGAAGCGTCTCCGAGCCTAGAAAGGAACGACAGTTGAAAATAAGTAAGAACACATACACGGAACATGAGAAAAAACGCAACAAACACAAATAACAGTAGCATCCACCTTAAATCAGGCAGTGACTGTGCATAATGATCCTCGATTCTTAGGAGAATGTTAACCTTTCAAACAAAACAACTGGATCTATGCTTTCTCAGGGTACGTGGCGGTTGCATGCATGTTGGCACCCGTTTTTTGAGCGTCCTGGACATTTTTCTCGCTTCGAGCTCGGCTTTCGCAACCCGAATTGTGGCCAAGTGTAAAATAGATTGTGTGATAACAGGTTTTTGGGCCACGTTCTCTCCTTTTTACAACAATCCAGAAGGAAACACGCTTGCAGCGACGGATTTTGTCAGACTCCTAGAGGTTTCGGGATCTGTTACAGCAAAACAATCCAACGGGAAGACAGAGAATACGCAGGTAATTGGGTCCAACAGTAGAGTTTAATCCAATAACGTACACAGAACGNTGTCAGACTCCTAGAGGTTTCGGGATCTGTTACAGCAAAACAATCCAACGGGAAGACAGAGAATACGCAGGTAATTGGGTCCAACAGTAGAGTTTAATCCAATAACGTACACAGAACGTAAAACCTAACTGCGTATTCTCTGTCTTCCCGTTGGACTGTTTTGCTGTAATAGATCCCGAGTCCTTTAGGAGTCTGACAAACTCCGTCGCTGCAAGCGTGTTTCCCTCTGGATTATTGTAACAAGGATAACAACTTAAGCGGCCCAAAAAGCTGTTATCACAATTGAGAACGTGTTTTCATTGACTTTGATTCAATCACTGTGATTAGGCTTCAGTTAGTTTAACTTAACTCGCGCAAAAACCACTATACCACAAGCCTCTATAAAATGGCTAATTTGCCTTGCCACCTCTACGTTCTTGGAAATATCGAGTCCAGTGTAGTAGGCTACTTAATAAAACATTGGATCGATAAGATATGTAATATATTGGACGTACCGTCGTTTAACCAGCAGTAATCTCGTATAACAAGCGAAGACGCGGGAATAATGGTTTTAAACTTGATTTCGTCCACACTGCTTACTGAGGAAAGCTGGAAAAAATGTATACAAACAGCTGATGAGTGCACACTCAAAGCAAAAAATGCAACATAATTGAATGAAGGAAAACGATTCAACTCACTCGATCTCTGTCTTTCTTTTTCTGTTTCCGCTCCACGTAGAGAAGGATAAGCGCTTTCTCAAAGGCTATAAAACGGAATACGAGAACGAAATCAGACACAAGGGGGAAAATATATCCTACAGTTATTTTACTTTGTAGCATCAGCATAACCAGCTTTCTAGCTATCAACTGGACTCCCTCGCAACGGTTGTTTAGGGTCGTAACGCAACGATCCCCCTAGACGATGCCTGCGAAGAGCCTAGACATGTAGTTACTAACCTAAAAGACCTCATCACCTAGGCCACTTATAGTTTAAGGCTTTCGTTCATTTGTAGGTTCTTTTGTAATGTGTATCGGTCAATGTAACGTGTCATAGCCTTAAATTAAAAGACCTTTGCTTCTTTTCTCATATTCAGCTGGTACAATATAGTTCGCACTGCATGTCCTTTCTTTCTTTTTGTGTTGTTATTCTTACCAAAAAGGTGCATGGTTCCAGGAGTCATCTTTTTCCCTATTCTGGGAGAGACTGGGTACTTTTTGAGAGTTCCACTTCGGATCACCTCATCCGGGCAATTAAGCCACCGAGCTTTCCCATGATGCAATAGGCGATCTATACTGACGTCAGCAAGCTGTGGGACAAAAGTTATGGAATGTGTCCTCTGAGCAAAAGCCTGACTGTGGCCAGGATGACTAAATTTTCGATAAGAGATAGTTAGAAATTTTATCATCCTGAAACCATTTCGGCGGCTTCAATGCGAGAATGTTTGCCCCACTAACAGACTACAGACTGTTTTCAACGAGAAAAGAAAAATACTCTAACAGTGAATTTTGTCATCAGGCGAGAAACAATTTGCTCAAAAGGGAAATTAAATTTCAGTTTCACACATTTTCACAATCATTTGTTTTACCTCAAATCCTCCAAACTCGTCAATTAACTGATGGAAAACTGGCGAGAACTGTTCTGTGATCCTTTGCATCTCGTTGATGTGCTCAGCGACTTTTTCAATTGCAACGACGGCCTCTGGAAATTTTGAACAGACTCATCTTGAGAAAAACAATGATTAGAGGCGTCCAAGTAGTTGACACCCTTTAACCCTTTGAATACCAAACTTTCGCCAAAAGATACCGTTTTTAAGCGTTTAGTCAGGTTTTTTTAGCTGCCATGACGCTAAATAAGCCAAAGGTTTGCTAAGAAAGCTTTTTTTTTTAGAGATTTTTCGAGGATTAGGTACAAAATTGAGCACAATTTCAATTCCGGGCATGCGCATAAGCCAAAATTTGGCCATTAACCGTTCTTAATTTTGTTTGTTGCCCCTTTCCTTTCTGTTTTTCTCGGCCCTTTTACACTGGCTACCTTTTGCAATGTATGGTCTTTCTGGCTGCCGTGAAAAGTTGGATGTTAAACTACTGAGAAAATAAAAAGCATAAATAGCCCGGCAAAATGTTCAGAAGCCAATGAAAACTCTTGATCAAGTACAATATAGGAAACGCTATGTTACCTAAAAGACAGTGATACTCTTCACTAGCACCGTCCAACAGCTTCAGTATTGTTCTCAGTAGTAAAGGATATCTCAGTATTCGCTACAAAGAAAAAAGAGAAAGTTCTACTCATATCATAGTATGTTTTTATTTCTCAATAATTCACCTGGACTCATTCACACTCCCACGAGGAGAGAGGCAGTATCAGTAAAGAATCAAGTTTGAACCCAGATCCAACGCATTATCATTCTACATGACAAAACATGGAGCAAAATATATAGAGAAAATAATTACATTATTTACCTGTATGGGTTTAATGAGATAAGATTCTAACGTTCCTGAATGCTGATTCTTAGGATTACGGGCGTGAAGGAACTCGTGCAGTGCAGTGTTTGTTCCTGAAGAAATAACAGAAATTATCTTTACAAAAACCAACGAAATATAGACATTTTCAATAGCTCTTTGTACCCAAGTCTCCTTTCGGCTCGTCACACAATTTTCTTCCCAGGAAGATTGCGTGACGACCCCAAAGAGCGTCTACTACTTGTACCCTTAAGGTTCCCTTAAATTGCACGATTTCGGAATGGGTCAGTAAACGCGTATGTGGCAACTATGACGACTAAAGAAACACACAGCTTTCAGCCTACCGAAGGAGATTCATAAGCATACTCAGACAATTTTTTAAAAAGCGACCAGATTGCATGCTCCTCAGCACTTGGACTTCAGTCACATCGGCAAATGAATTATTCTGAAACACAGACTGGCAGGTAAAGCTGACTATGCACCAACATTCAGTCGCATGAAATCGTCTACTGAAGCATACCTGACTGAAGAAGTTCCACAACCCTTGAGTGACTTGAGCAAAATGCACTATAAAGCTTGAAATGCTCCGTGTAGTTAAAAAAGGTCTCTCCAATGGTGTAAATAACGTTCTGAAAAGAGAGAAAATATGTTTTGTTAGAGCTAGTGACCACGACTTAGTAAAGGGCTTTTTTGCGTTATTAGTTCAACTCAGTTTCTTGGACTGAAAGCACAAGTGTAGTTTGCAGATCTTCAGAGCAAAATTCCAAGGATAGCAGATTTGATTGCAGGATAGCAGTTACTCCCTACTATTAATATGACGTCTATGATCTTTCTTTCATATGGAGTTGAGTTCTAATACGCAAGTTAGTTCTGAGATGGCAGAAAGTTTGCAGTTTAACAACATATGAGCTGATACCTGAAACTGTTCAACGGCGTTGAAATCCTCAAACCCAGTCTCGGAATCCAATGGTCTTGCTATTTCCTTGAGGAACTTGACTTGAAAGTCCAGGATTTCGTGAACAGTAGCTACTAAAGCTTGAACCTACAGGCACGGAAACAAGCAATGGAAATTAACCAGAGGACTAGAAACATTAAAATCAATAATAAATTCTGTATGTGACTAACGGAGTTAAAACTTTTACAAACCTCTGATTGTGACATGAAGTTTTCATCTTTCATAGGATCGAGATAACGTTTTAGAAGAAGTCTCAGATCCTAACAATGAAAATATTTGGCAATTAGCTCGGATGGATCGGATCATAAAATAATTACTACGGTAAATATACTGCCACTGTATTTCTAGAATTTGACTGACAATAAATTGAACTAAAAAATTAGAAAGTACAGGCCCACCCATTTGCTCCACAATCCAGACCCCAGTCCACATCCGTCGATCCCTCGGGCTGTCCCTCGGGCTCGGGCTGGCTGTGTCAATTTTTAGCGGGAAACTGGACTCGCGGGCGACGGCAGGTCACAACTGTTGGCAGCTCGCTTTGGCGGGAAAACAGAGCTTTTTCGGCTCGCTTCGACCCGTCATGATGGTTTGGTTCAGCAAAGATTTTCACTTTTGTAAGGTATGTGAGTTTTCTAGCAATCCCCGACGCAAAACCCCCTACAAAGAGATAACGCGGCAAGAATAGTTTTGTTTACCTTCACATAAGATCTCTCTGTGTCGACGAGTTCAATGATAACTTTTCGCAGTTTCTGCGCCTGGCTAAGATGAACACTTGGTTTGGGTTCGTCATCATCTGAATATTCAACTTGTTGTCTACAGAACAGCGTCACTTGCTCCGCTCTCTGTGTGAAAACAAACAATGAGCAAATTTCGATTGTTCGACTTTGCAGATTTGCTCCAATATAAAATAAGACTTGATTTCATGTAGGCGTATCCCTGTATCGAGCGGTTTTCTAATTTATATTGAAAGTAGATTAATCAGGCAATCACTTTGGTTTTGGTTATACTACGGTTTGAGCTTGGCTGAGTAGTCTAATTGGTAAGCAATTGGTTTGGTTTTGGTGTTACGACACTCGATTGAAAACCGCTCCAGTTCTAAATACATTGACTTTACCCTCAGTACGAAAAGAGATGGCGGCTGTACATTTTACATTCCACAATACCATAGGAACCTTACACAACCCATAAAGTACAAGGAAAGTCATATTTTTGCAATATTTGTCCCTGTGCTAACGACAATGAGTATGTTAGGTTTGAAGATTTTAGAACTTTTCTGTGCGTTTTTACGAGGTTTCGTGCGCTAAGAACTATGGGTAAATGTGCCAGTCGCCATCTTTTTTCCTACGAAGGATTTCAAACATGCCAAGCACCTGAAGAAGTTCGTCGACACTCTTGGTAGGTGAAGAAGGCGAAGGACTGTCGGTTTCGTCTATCAGGCTTGTTGTCACGCTGGCCTTGTCTACCGTTTCTTTCTCAACATCGTATGCTACACAAAGAAATACAAGGTTATGACCCTTTTTAGCAGAAAGTGCCAGAGCAGGATTAGGCTACAGTTTAGCTGCTCTGCCAAATTTTCCGATAAAACCAACAATGCTTAAAAATGACAGAAAACTCCAAGTTTTTCGAGCCTTTATAACACATAAGTTCTGCATGTGGTATAAATCGAGTGTTATCATATTTTCCGTACCAAATATACAGGTACAGCAAGTACAGAAAAAAGAAGAGTGAGCCTCGTACGTCACATGACAGCAATACATTTGCAGACCTTCGCAGAACTAGTTCAACACAAGCCAGTATTAAACAATGATCTTTTAAAGATTAAGCTCACTATTATGTGAGAAGAATGGCTCGTTAAACACCTCAAGTAGAATTACCAGATTTATGAACTTTGCCCTCAGTTTTTCGAGTTTAAAAAACAAACAAACAAAAAAAAACAAGGACTACCAGCTAAGGTTAAAAACAAAATCAAGACAAACTCACATTGAGGAGGAGGAACAATCAGATCACTCAGGTCTTGCTCGGCAATAGTATTACTGAAACAAACAAACAAAAAAACGAGACATTCAATATCTATCACCTAGCCTACTGAGAAATGCAATTATGCAGAAACCTTAATACAGCAATGCTTACAGCTATTACCTTATTTTAGGCGGAGGCTGTACCACAAGACTGGAAATAATGGCGTCTGAAGTCACTTTATTGACAACTGGTGGCTCATCGCGACATGATCGCAGTAATAAGGTAATGGATGGGTCTAAATAATAAAATAAAATTTGTACTAAGCTAAACAAAATGCACGTAACGTTTTTCAACAAAAAACATCATGCAAAGGATAGAATATACAAAATGTTAGTTTACCCTTCAAAGCTTCCCGGAGATCATCAACTGCATTTTCCACTTCTTGTACGCCAATTTCATTTACTTCAAGAATTTCATCTCCTTTCCTTACACCTTAGGATGAAATTGGCTAAGTTTAGCTCGTGTCCTCAATAGCTTGCTGATCATGACTGACAGTCAGGTAATGACTGGTAAAGGTAATTAAGATAATAACAGAAATGAAGACATGATTGATCATCGCGGTTATGCGCACAACTTAATAGTTATAAGCAGTTGTGAAATTTAAGTCTGAAAAAAACTCCCGTTCAAAATCCCTGAATCCAGTCCAAGCCTAATTTTTTTTAAGGCTTAAATTTCACCACTGCTTAAGTTCTGTGCATAACTGCGATGATAAATAATGTCTTAAAATCTTTCTCTGCAGTTCAAATAATTATCTGATCTTTCATATATTCACTTGTATAATGAAAGAAAGTCAACTTGAATCACATGATTGTTCAGGCATCCTGCACTACATTATAATCCATGTGTAAAATTATGTGTTGTGCTTCTGATTAAAAAATTACCAAAACAAATGATTTTGTACTAAAACCTCTTTCTCAAACAAAAGTCTAATGCAGTTCTTCTCCAAAACTTATTATTTTTCATTTTACAAATCCTGTTGTGCTCCTTGGTCTACCTTGAACATGTGCCAGTCTTCCCTCTTCAACTGAACTGACCACAATGCCTTCACCTTTACTCTCCACTGATAAACCTGGAAAATAGAATGTGTATATAGTCACGCCATGCATTAATAACGTATATACATACGTAAAATCTAGAAGTTTTTTAAAATTTTTATTCATTGATCAGTTCTGTATACTCTCATTCACATAAAGATACCATAACATGAACAATAATATTGGTGTTTACAAGTAAGTACCTTACATTGTTCACTTCTCAGAAGACTTGAGATGATATAAACTCTCACAACAGTACATGCTTTTGGAACGACTTTAGAACTTTTTAGGTGTTGAAAATGTCTTGACATGTGATTGTTACCTACCAAAGTCAAGTCTGTCAATCTCCATTGAACGCTCCAGTTCGACAGTGAAAGTGCACTTTTCACATAACTTTAGACAGTCATATCTCTGTTGACAAAATGACAAGTGCCAACGGAATATTTTTAATGGCAATCACGATTACATTTAGGTACAACCATACAACTTCCAGTGTTATGATCAGTGATAGACGTTTTCTACGGTTTTTAATGATCAAATCTCTTTAGTCTTACAGGAAAAACAGATCAGGTTACAAAACCTAGAAAGTACAACCATACACCCGGCAATAAAGAAATAATAAATTATAACACAAATAATGATGATGATGATGACGATAATAATAATAATAATAATAATAATAATAATAATCTACATATATTAAGTTGATAAAATCTTGGAAGACATCACATCAACTGTACATAAGAACTAAAATAATGACAATGATAATATTGTAATATTATTGTTAACTACAGTGTATAACATCAAGTGAAATTAAAATTCACGTTAATGTGCTAGATTCAAAACATTAATTTTCTGTACTAAAGATAACATTCAATTTCTACTTACATGATTTTCTAACAAAGAATCCTGCGGAGGAGTGGCGTATTCTACAACACAGCAATATTATCAGTTTTTCGCTTGTAAAATAGGTAGAAAAAAAAGTCATGCATAAATTTAACCCAGCATATACATTATATATAAGTACGTTTCTCCTTACAACTTCCATTATCCATAGATAGTCAAAATTAAGTCAGTGTTTGAGCCTAGTGGCCGATCAGGCCAGCACTTATCTCTGGTTTCTGTAGCATGAATTGACTAGGAATATTTTACTTCCTCTGAATAAGATGCTAGTCCACTGCAGGGTTAACCCCAGTATTTACTTTGCCCCACCCTTGTCCCTAGTGGCAAGGAGCATTGTGAGAATGAAGTTTCTTCCCCAAGAATGACTCCAGCCAGGGCTTGGCCATGGAGTCCAACACCCCATGCACCTCCTTTGGGAATAAGTTACAAGCAAGCTTTTTACCTTGGAAAAAAATCTAAAAATTTCACACTATCAATTTCTTTTGGCTCCCTTACCTGTTACACCTGAATCATCTTCTGTTCCAAGTTTCAAATAGTATGCGGCAGGATCAAATTGACGTTTGCTACAAGTGTTCTCGACCACCTCTAATATTGTCATTTCATTGTGCAAAGGTATGACAGTACTCTGGTTGTTGTCAAGGCTGATACGTAAAAAGTTTCCAAGACTTTTCCAGTCTGAGTGACTGGATGATAAAGAAGCTCTCTCCACTGCAGCCACCTCTGGCTCCTCCTCTGGAACGTCATCAATGTTCTCTAAGTTTGACTGTCTGAAAATTTAACAATTGCTTGTCTGAGTGATTAGGGCACCAAGTTTATAGGGGTAGTTGAGAATTTAAAAGGACTAAGAACATATACATTTAGTGGACAAACATTCAAAATAGCAAGCACTCAGGCTTCTAGGAGTAAAGGAACAGGCATAACGCACATGTGAACAGTCCATAAATTCCTAAATTTGTACTGATTGGGAATACTACATCTGACTTATCCTGATAACCACCACTCTACAATGGCCACACTTTTTTCTGTCCATACCATGTGTCCACCCATACCAGCAGACAAAGAAAGTTGGGTACGATAGCAGGGAGCAAGAGAATTTTGAAGACAGTTTAGTAGATACTATCCTTCACTTGCCTGATCAATCTGGGTGGATTTTGAGAAAAAAATTGAGAAAATTCAAATCACAGATTAGAGACTGAATTTTACGGTTTTAATTTTAATTAATTGTGCTAGTAAGAAATTATTGGGGATGCTAGTGAAAATGTCTGCCAGGCAAGTACAGCCTAGTTATAGCTTGCTGGGAAGGGCAAGTACATGCAGTACAACTGATTTTCCCTGCATTCTCCATACAGAAGCCCATTTGCAATGGCTACCTCTTAACAATAGAAAGCAAATTCTGTCCCAGAGTATCACAGTAAAGAGGTTCAAATCTATGCCAACATAAGCATTGACGTTTTAATATTATTACTGGCCCACTGTGTGACATGCATCACATGCTCACCGTTTCAATCTTGGGGTTCCTGCACCTCTCCCTGAATAACGATCTCTAATAGACTTGACACTTGCTGCATCATTTATTCTAAGTGACGTAAGCAATGCACTTTTCAACTTGCCCACAGAACTGGCTGATCTCTTTGCTTTATTTCTTGTTTTTACTTCTGCATCTGTACTGGGATCTCTTGCACTGACAACAGCATGGAATGACATAACAGAGAAAATGTTCATTCTTGAAAGGATTTGCTTAGTGTTTCTAGACACACAAGCGAGAAGTGTTTGAGGATTGGGCAGCTGACTGCCTTGAATAGCTGCTGTGTAGCAGTGTAGCCGATACAAGTCAATGTTGAGCTGCTCTAGGTTTTTATCCCACTTTGAAATCTGCAGAAAAAAAATATACTTGTCAAGAAAAGGTACAGCATATGCATGTAGCTGGGAGTGGGTTACCTACATGAACACATTACATGAAATACAGTTAAGTGCCAAAGTTAATAAAAATATAACTGCAGGGTGAGGAAGGTCAATGCAGTATGTTCAATCTCCTGTCATCTGGTCAAGAGTTATAGTCCCACCATTTGAAGAATTAATATCAAGTATATATATAAATAATGCTAAATTTGGCTGGACAAAATCTGCATCTTTCCACAAGAAGAGAAAGCTATCAAAACTTGAAGTTTAATGTTAGAACATGTAATTGTACAATTTAAATTTCCTGTGCACAAAATATCTGAACTACATGTATACCTGATCAAGAAAGGCCTGCTTGTTCTTGGAATCAGTTACAACAGTAGATTGTAACTCTGCCATTTTCTTGAGTTTAGAGTCTGAAGATATTTTCCCCTCTACTCTACTGGTTTCGGTTGAAAGGATGTGCAGCATTTCATGTTTTCCTCTTTGTCCAGGACCTGCCAGTACAGAGGCAGCCATAGAATGTATTGCTGTTATCCAGTTCTCAAGATCGGTTTGATTGGATGCCTAAACAATATAGAAAAACATACAAACCCTGTGTAAGTTTCTATAGATGGACAAGTACTAGTCAAAGAAAGGACTTCAAAATCTACCCAGTTTCCCATTACAGAACCTTCAACAGTAGTAAAATTCATGCAACAGCCAGATATTAAATCCACATCCTGACAATCATGATTTACCTTACCTTTAGGAAAGTGATTCAGATATGTAAATGCCCACACAGATATGATTGCATGTCCAATGTTTGTCACTTCAATATTGTTTTGATATTGTGAATATAACAATTATAACATTTAGTGTCATCACCAAGTTTTTATATCCCTGGTGTCTACAAGTAAGTATTGAAGGCCTACTTTTGCCACTGACAGTATCTCTGGCTTTAGATTTCAGCAGTTCATAGATTCCTAGAAGATACCATACCTGAAAGAAGTATGCTTCCCCAAGTCTGGAACTGACACTAAACACATGGTCCAGCTTTGCATGTTCTGGTACAGCCTGGGCAATGCAGCCATCGATTTCCAGTGAAAAGCTTGGTTCATCCAAGTCTTGAGGACTTACAGTCTTTTCATTACAAAAATAAAAGTTCAGGGCACCACTTCTCAGTGATACCCAACATTTACGCCACTTCCTGTCTGATGCAAGGTCAACTTTGCTTGACTTTAATCTTACAAGGACATGCTTAACAGTCAGCCAGCCTGCCTTGCGAGTTGCACCCCCCTGACGAGACTGAGCAATTCCAGATTGCGGCTTCAAGTCAGTTACACAGCTGCTGTTGAGATCTGCATCATCATGAAAGGAAGCACGTATCTCCTACAAAATGAAATTAAAAAGCTCACTACCTGCATGACACAAACAGGGTAAATCCAACAGAATCATTTCTGTAGCATTACTATAGATAATGGCTTGCCTTTTCATACTAGTGTGATTAGACCATAAAGAATGTAATTTTTCATTACAATGTCAAACAGTTGAAAATTAAGATCATGACTGCCAACTAAGGCACAATGACTTCAGTTAGTTCTACCAGGAACACAACAATCTCAGAACCAGCTCTCATGTTTGGTAGTCAGTGGATGTAAGAGTAACACTTTCATGTACTTTGTATCTCAAGTCAAGAATTAAATGAGTTAAAACCGACAGGAGTTGAGAGGACATTTTGTTGGCCAGCGTCTGGAGCATCCTTATGGTTTCAAAAATTTTACCTCACTTTCAAGTAAAAATGAACAATATATTATGAGATAATATAATATTATTTCTTTGGGAAGCAGAAAAAAAAAATCCAAGAATATTATTATTGACAGTGATGAAACATTTTGGACAGTTTATGGGCATACTACATACTAATAATACATAATACATAATAATACATACTCTACTTCACATGTATATAGTACTAGTTAATACTGAAGGAAAAAAATATGCAAAGTGGGAGATTTAAAAGAAACATTTTGAGAATATACATGTGAGATCAAATGTATTCATAGTTACTTACCACAGGACTGTTACTAGAATTCAGATCCTGAGCTACGTTCTCAAAGTAGCTTATTTCTGTTGTGTCATCTGCATCTGATAAGTTACTTCTTGAACTGACAGAGTAATCTGAGTCACTGGCTACTGACAGATGTGAAGAAAGTTCATTTTCCGAAATAGGAGATAAATTACGGGATTCAAGGGTGTCACTGCCAACATCCTCCATACCAAATCCACTGTCACCGGGATCACCATTGGTGTGTATGGGTGGTATTGGAGTACTGCTGCGAGAGCCAATAGGACTGTGTGTTTCATTGGCAACGAGAGTGCTGCTGGAATTGTAGTGGTCCCCAACACTATTGTGGAGAGTGCCATTGATGGGTGACTTGCTGATGTTTAACTCAATGTCGTTGATCTGGATTGTTGGTGCATCAGAACTCCCTTGGCTGTCTTTTCTTGTAGTTATCTAAATGTGCAGAATACAATAGGCTATATTTGAGATTAAAATTCTAACTTGGCTCCAAGGCTTGAAGCAATAAAAAACAAAAGAAATTGCATCGAGGTTGAGGGATAAATAATTTATTTCCTTTGTTTTGTTCCCCCAAGCCTCGTGGCCAAGTTAGAATTTTAATACATAAAATGGCTTTTCAAACAACACGATTTGTAACACTGGCTTTTTAAGTGCACAAGCACTTGATGGATGACATATTAAGTTTACAGCTCCTGCATAACATAAAACTTACATAAGGTTTAACAGCCAAATAGTTCAGGGCCTAAGCACACCACAATGGCAATGGTAATGAGAATGCCNTATCTGTTTTGTGCTTCAGACAGAAAGGACCTACACCAACTTTTTATTTTTAAGCAACAATAATTATTATGTTATGGTATTAATATTTTGTTAACAGTTGTATTGTTTGTGCTTTCAAAAAGTGTAAATTTAAATTTAACAATGCAATTACCTTCTTCTTGTGAATGACGATTGGTATGACACTTTCTATAACTGGAACCCATCTCAAAGGACCATCATCTGAAGACAATGTATTGACCTCTGCAAGGGAACTGAAAAGAACATGAACCTGTAAGTTACAAACAGTCACAAGGCAGACATAACTGTGACATTTTCTAGAGAAACAGAGGAATCTGCAACCAAGCAGGCTGTCCAGTATGGAGCAGCCATCAGCTTGCTGGGGATTACTCTGGAAATGCTATAATACTTTTCACACCATGGTAGTTCCTCACAGCATTTCAATCATTTTGAAAAATTGAGGTCCTGCCACCCCATGTTTGGAGGGCCAACTATATAACTCATGGAAAAGTTTTCATTAATAGGTTAACCCTTGTGACCAAATACAGAATTTGCTTTTGCATATCAGCATAAAATAGTTTTGTGCCTGTTTATAATGCAGCTTATAGATTCTGAGACAGTACATGATGGTGAAAATTAGTCAACTCTCAACCGACTGTTGTCTGAGATGTTTATCAAGTGTTGATTGATCAACACTCAACCGCAGATGCCTTTAGTACACATGATCCAATTTTTCCAAGTTAGCCCTAACAGGTTGTATATCTAAATTTATGACTGGTGCCTGTAAATTTTAGCCTAACAGGTTCTAAAAATCCTGGTTCTCATATGTCAAATTTAATCATGTACCGGTACTTAATTTTCACAAGACAGAATGTCTGTACATGTCGTTTTGAATATGGAAATGCTATTTCCCTGCAAATATTGTTTAATTTGTTTAGCTTTTCATACCTCCAGGGATTGTCACTGCGATCAAAATGTGGACTTTCCTTCAATTTTTCATTCTCCTTATCGCTTTCCTTGGTTAAATGCACTTTCTGTTAAAAGTTAAGCTGAGTCTTTGAATTTACAAAATGTTTAATATGTACATTTGGTAACTTTAAACAAGCTAAATAGTTTAGAGAAGAGATTGTAAAATAAAATACATCTCATTTAATATTTAAAATCAAATATGATAAACTATTTTAATTTTTTGGTCAAGAAAACACGCAAAATAAGAGCCCATAATGCACTGTATCAGTCGATGAGAACATTCAAGGTAGTGATCTTTGCACAAGAAATTATATCATTCACAAATTTTAATGACTTTAACATGCGTCAAGAAAATGTATTTTATATATTAGAATATAAAAAGCTTCAGTTTTGTTAAAGGTAGTCTTGGGCAACTACAGCAAAGAGTAAGGAATATTGATTTATAGTTATTCCACATTTTGTTAACCCCTGCCACTTCCATGTATTTTATTTTTGAAAAACAATGATAATAATTAAAATGGTACTTGTAAAAATTATTTACATAGTTTTCAATTTTTTCTGCTGTTCAAGGCATATAATACTACTGTTATTTTTAAATTAATATATATCTACCTCTTTTGTGGAGGTCAGGTGCACTTGTTGCCTTGCTTGAGAAATGCGTTTCCACATTCTTTTTGGCCACATCTAAGGAGCAGTTTATTGGTAGTTTTTCACGGACAGCATCGGCATGCATGTTATTGTTAACAATGTTACTTTACAGAAGCTTTTTTATACTTGACCTAGTTTATGCTCACTGTTAAAAGTATTATTTACCAACTTGCATTCTAAAAGTATATAATTTTCATCTGTAACAAATTATTATGCAATAATTGTACTCTTTCATGTCTTTCAGTTAAGTTGTCAGTCTTAATTTCAGACCAGTCAACTTCAGCTCAGTCCTGATGAACAGCTTTATTCATGTGCCATAATCCTGCTAGAAGATTCAGCCAAGAAATCTTTTTGTAGTTTGTTTTTCAAAAACATGAATTAATGGTCAGCATCATGTTTCTTGTTGCAGTATCATGGATATCAACAACAAATTGTCATAAATAATTCAAGAGAATATAACAATGGAAAGAATTCATACTTTGGATCTTCTAGCACTGAATGGGTTAGAAAGTACATGAATTAACCAGATCCAGATATCACTGACAAAAGGATGTACATGTACTAAACCATAAACCAGGTTAACATGCTTAATTATGTCACCTTGGGCTCTGTCAGCTTACAAAAATTATCACTGGTCTAAACCACAGCATGAGCTTTAATAGATTTTATCGTCAAAGTTATTAGCATAAGAAAACAGTTGGTAGATATTGTTTTAAATAAAATGCAGTAAATAAAGCAATAAAAAAATGCAAACCCTGAGGATTGGAAGAGGGTGTAATAAATTATTGAACAGTTTCAATTTTTAAACAACAGGATGAGTTTATCCAGCACTCAGCTGCAGGTTTATTAAAGGACATTGTTTCCTAAGACAAAAATAAACTGTGCAATANAAACCTGGACTGCTTGAACCAGAGTTGAGCACACTAAGAATGGGGCCACCCTGGCTGCTCAACAGGTGGCTGCTTAATTAGACATTCAACTGTACATTTAGATTTAACAACAAGAGACCACTTCTCGATCACTGATGTAAGCAAGTCATGCATTGCAACCAACCCAATGACAATTTGAATAATATAGCCCTAAGTGAAACAATGCTAATACAAACTTTCATTGGAAGTTATGATCATTTTCTAATTATTGGACAAATGTTTAGTTTTAGGACAATAATTATCAAATTTATTAATATTGCTCAGTAATTCATAAAACTCTTTAGTTTTTCTACTTATAGCAAGATTAATATTACTTTGGAATTTATATTTTCAAACCTCATGTATTGGGTTAAGTTATAGCCAAAAATAATTTGTTCGTTACATAATATTATATCGCGTATCGGGGGTTATATGCATGCAAGTACGTTAACAGTTGTGTTGTATGAAACAGCAAAGGACTTGATATTTCATGCGAAAAAAAAAAAAATCCACGGGCCTCATGTCAACGGCTTATAATTATCGAGGAACAAAATGGAACAAGAAGGGATGGGTGATATTGATTTGGGTAATTTTATAGCTCGACTAAAATTCGTGAAGTATATAGTTAATGTAAAGCGTGAAATTGGACCAAACAACGGTTTTCCTGAAGCGTTCTTGCTATGAGAACAAATAAACCCACTAAAGCTGTCAAAAAATTGAACAGATTTTTTCAACAAGTTGTGAATTCAGTCAAAAAGTCATCACACCAATGTAAACAAATATTGGAGCGCATGCAGACGGTGCTGTCAAAATGTTTACCGTATAACTTGAATGCCCCCGTCTTTGCTCCAGTTCTCGATGTACTTTGTAACTTCATGTGACTCAAATCCGTTGGCACCTGAAGGAAACAAGCCTATCTGGCCCCCGATTTGGGGGCCAGACGGATGGCTTTCTTTGTTGCCAATATTGTCTTCGTTTGTTAAACAAGATCCATCAAGACAGCTTGGCGATACGACTTCATCTAGCAGAAATACGCAGTATTACTGCCCTCAGTTAAGTCATCAGACGTCACTGCGAGTGGTAACGAAGCCAGAAGACCACTCTCTGTTAAGGAAAGAAAGGAGAAACGCTCTTACTATGCCAGAGGAATGTTTCTTTCAAACCGTTTCATTATGCCTTCGGTTCCGCTTTACTGTGATCAACTCGCATGTTTGACCAGCTTACACTCCTGTGTGTCTAAGATCAAACGAGCTGAACGATCGAGTAACCCTTCTCTAATGGATTTATAATTCTCCATTAAAGCTTAAATATATGTCTACAAGATCAGACTTTTGCAAATCGTTCAATTAAATTTTTCCTTGAGGCATTCGATAAGATCGGTATCAAGTACTCAAAAGTCAATCGAGAGTTATTGAACATTTTGGCTGAAGAATAGCGTATCACACAATAGCAACCAAGAAGTTTGAGAAACAACGGCTATCAAAGAAATGAAGTCTAAGTGAACAATTTACCTGAAGTAAGTGATCCTTTTCCGTTTTGTTAAGAAGTATTTACAAGTTCCTTTTGCTCAAACCCCGCTTCGCACGTACGGGTTCCTGCGGCGAGCTCGTTACTCCACAAAGTGTTCGTAGTTACAAAGGACTGCAGCCTGTGATTGGTGGCTGGTTAATTTGCATGACATTCCAATGAATCCTCGAGGGAAAACGTGATTAAATCCACACGACTTCATTAAAACATGGTAAAGGTTATTTGTTCACAATAGTTCGGAAAAATTGACTGCAACTTGAAAATGATCTTTTGGCCTTGATATTAACTGAACGACTCGTGTGTGTCTAATTTTATTATCAAACACGAGACTCTTGTTTCTTGGGCCAGGCATGGCCTGTCAAACCCCCATCAAACGGGATATTCTGAACTACTAAAACCCAGTAATCAAATGCAAGACTACCTTGATTGAATATTTAAACTAAGAACTGGATAAATATTACAGATTAACAGGAACCGATTACAGTGGACTTGGATGGATCATCTCGGTAAATTATCCAGGACTTGAACATGCTTGCTCAAACATTGTGACTTATTGAAGAAACAAAATTTACAGCAGAGTCCTGAACGATCCGATCGCGGAATTGTCAAAATAAATGATTTATCCAACAACATTAACAACAACACACCCTTAATGTCCAAAATAGAAAAACTCTTCGTTACAAAAAAAAGATAATTGAAACAGAAAATGAGGTAAAATTTGCCCAGTATAACTTAAAAACTAATAAAGACGTTGGTTGCCAATATATCCTTACATTCAGCTGTTTTATCGACCTTCAACGTGAAGTGTTCCCCGAAGTGTTCACACTAACACCAGCATCGATATAGCGTGCGTGTGTGTTTTCCTTGTCAGGTTTCTCTTTCCTTTCTCACAGATGTTTTCATTTTCATTGTCCATTGGTACCGCGCAGACTGTCTAATCAAAGGGCAAAGGGTGTACTAGCGCGTTATCAGCCTGTTGGCTCGAGGGGTGTTTTCTTGAGGGACACACATAAAGGTGCTTTTGATGACATTCTACCAAACTCTAGTACTTTAGACACGCTATAATATAATGGACTGACCAAGAGCTAGACTCTGCATGCGGTAAATGAACGGTTTGTTAAGGTTAATTATGATCTCGGTGACTTTTTGCCTTCGCGTTAAGCCGGAAGAATCAACGAAAGGGGCTTATTACCGATTTTCGTGACTCAGTTTAAATCCAGATTATTATCACCCCAAACTTCTGTTCAATCCTACTGTCGGCTATTTTTGTGACATTTTTTCACCATTACTAGCTTGAAAATAATTTTAACCTGAACTAAACATGCTCAGGGGAGGACCGCCAGAGAGAGGTTTTACAGGCTAGAGGTATAAGGAAGGACAGTGACTTCACAAGCTTAACTATAGAAAAAGAAGGAAAAACTGACCTTTAGCATTTCAATTATCTCAAAGAGAGGCACTTAACGGCTGGGGCATCCAATGTATTTTAAGGAGTTATCCAATCCAAGGTTGTGAAAGGGGAATCATTTTATATCGAAGTTCTATGATAAGGCTTACCTTTTCGGTCAAAAAATTAAAAGTGTAAGGATTTGGACCTCATAGAGGAGTCTTCCCTTGTAAAGCTTTGTTAGGAACCTCGCTGAAAATACAGTAAACACCCGCGTATGAGAGACTAAAATTTAAGAACCTGTCAGGCTAAAATTTTCCAGTTAAAGCACACTTCACATAAGAACCATTCTCGGCTAAAATCTCAATACAGGTTCTTATTTTCAAAATATAAAGTTCTTTCAAATATAGCACAGTACATCACATGCAGTACAAAAAAAAGGTAACAAAGGAGTGTTGTAAGACCACAATACTGTACTGTGACTGAATTAATATAAACTCCACACTCATGAGTACAAGTTCGGTTTTTTTTTAAACAAAAATTAAGAACCTGATTAAGAACCTAGGTAGCCTATTTTCACAATAAAAAACATTTATATAAGAAGCTATGGAAGCTAACTTGAAAAAACCGAGGTTCTTGCATGCTGGTTTTTACCGTATTCGTTTCAAAGATTTAAGACCAGTTGTGAGTACGCTGTGAGGACCTACCTAAATTTCTTGTTGGGTTCCCTGGTTTCCAGTCTTTCTCATACAGGTCGACAAAATGGCGGAAAGGCTGAACTATTTTTGCTAAGATTTCTGTCTTCGTTAAAGTAAGCAGAAGCTTATATACTACAGCGGAATCACGCAAAACTTTGAAATGTTTCAATCCAACTTCTTGTTTATTTATTTATTTCTACTGTCTAGTCGGTAATAGAAGCATTTGAATGTTGTTTTTTGGAAAACTTTGAAATATTAGTAAGCTTATAAATTGGAAGACGAATATGGCCCTAATGGAGCAAGAAATTAACATCGTTGAAATTCCTCGGTTGAACATACAGTGGGATTGGAAAGAAGCCCTAAGGTACGTCCATAGATTACAGGCGAGTGCATGCCTCAGGACTCAAATCTGTTATTGTCTTGAAGTTTGCACATGGTTATTTGTGCTGTAGTGACGTAAGCTTAAGCTCAGTTTAGTTTATAATGGGAACTGTATTGTTTTAGTTTATAGCATATTAAGGTATAGTTTGCATCATACCAAATGGTCCCTACAGCTGGAGCTCTAGGGGAAGTTCAATTGAACCCTTCTAAATTAAAAAAAAAATGAGACATTATAACACACTGACTTGCCCTCAGAATGCTGAAAATCCCATTCGGAGGACCTCAATTCCAATTTTCAGGGGGAGGATGCCCCTGGACCCCGTACAGGGGAATGCCTTCAGCAGTCCGTATCTTGAACCTGCTTCCCATTAGCCTGTGAGCAGGCTCACATTGGAGTACAAGAACGCGCAGCAAAGCCGCGAGATGAAAAAGTGAGTCTTTCTTGGCTCCTCTTCACCAGACTCCTTCTCGCCAGATCGCTTTGCTCTGCTCACATGCATGACTCAAAGGTGAGCCTGCTCGCAGACTACCTTCCCATTAGAACACAATGTCCTTGGCCAGGGCTTGAACCCAGACCACTTGATCCAGACACAAGCACACTCACCATGTGGTCACCGTGGCTCAAAAAAGTTATAAACATGTCAGGTAATTTTCAAAAATTTTCTTGTAGCTATGATTAATAATTTTTGTTAACAAGACTTGTGTCTTCCAGATTTAGATGTAACCTGTAGTGATTATCATACCTGTGCTTTCCAACTTGTAGTAATGGACTCCACTTGGTGCTGTTGCTATTATTAATCAAATTAATTTGAATGATTAATTGCTAAATTTATTCCTTCCGTTACACAGAAACCCTGGTGGAAAGGCTTGGATCTCATGCTCAAGAATTAGTATGTACTGCTCAAAATTTTAAAAACTTCTTTATTCAGTAATAAAGTACTGGTACTGGTACTTATATATAATTTGTTGAACGTGGATATGGTCCAGTGAAATATGCAGCACTCCCCTTGTCTCACACACTCACTTTAACATCCTTGTTCTCGCTNCACTGTGATGATGTGTATCATTGCCAATAAGAGTACAGACCATGCTAAACCACATTTTCATTTGTTTTTTACCACAATATCAATGTCAAAGAAAATGTTTTTTTCAGAGCATGAGCTGAAAAAGGCGTTGCGTGACACATCGACGTGAGCAGCCTTGTCTGGACTCTTATCGACAATGGCAAATTATCCAATCAGATGGCGAGATTAGTAGTAATTGTGGTAAAAACTATGTTATCCTCTTATTTCAGACTTGTCTCACCCTATCATTTCCAGAAGAGGGATATTCTACAAAGTTTGTTCCACCAAGGACTGTTTTTGCAAGTCTTCACAAGAAGAGCGTAAGTGTGGTAAATTTGTGGATTTTTCTCATATTGGTCCTGTGTTACAGAAAAATAAGAAATGTATTTACTTTACGCCATCAGAAGATGACTGACATGTGGCTTTTAAGGATAATTGAAAGCTTGAAGTCATTTAGTCTGTTATCAGACAGATAACAGCAGTCTGCAATGATGAGAGTAAAGAAAGTATTAGACTGTGTGTCATATCTCCAGTCATCAGTCAGAAAAGTCTCAAAACACAAAACAAAATACTAAGCTATCTCCTAACTTGAAGTTGATAAGGGGTGCTGTAAATTAACTTATGTCAGCACTTTGTCAGAGCAGCCAGAGTAAAAAGCAAATGAAAACTAAAAGAGGTGCAGAGGTGACTTGGCCAACATGAAGTAAATGAAGCACATCAAAATAATTACTCTGCAGACAAATATTTTGTCTGAGCCCCCAATTGGGTCACTGCAAAACCATGATCGTGTCAGGTACCAGTTGGTCATTCTGATTTAAGACACGGAGCTTTAGAAGGTACTGTGAGCTCTGTCCAAGTTCTAAGTAGTAGTGGTTGTTTCCCTGACTGTTAAACATCAAGTTAACAAAATCAAATGAAATGCCATTAGATTTCCCATTAATTGAAATACTAAATCCATTTCCTCTCTCAGATTCGATGCATAGATGTATCACCTGGAGGGGGACTGGGTGTGTCTAGCGGGGATGATGGTACTCTGCTTATTTGGGACACCAGTAATGGTGTTGTAAGGGTATGTTCTGCTTTTCATTCATTCGTGACTTAGCTGCCTGGCATTTGATCAGAAGATGGAGTAGTAGATAAAAAGTGTTAATTTATGAAAGTTTATAGCATGTTGTCTAAATGTTCTTGCAGATAAGCCCACATCCCCGATTTGCTACAAAAAGTTTTAGTAGAAAGGTGCGGCTTATCTGCCGGTGTTTTCAGTAAATGGCTTTGTTTTTAAGTTAATTTTAAGCGAGCAGTAGATTGTTTTTCAGCTTAGTAGTGAACTTCTATTCATTAAATGGTAGCCAACATTTAGCCCACATGCTGGTCTTTAAAGTTTGTTTTCTGGTGTTTGTTTGCAGCATGATCTCCAAGGGCACATATCAGATGTGAACACTTGTAGGTTCTTCCCATCAGGGAAAGTTGTTCTTAGTGGTGGAGCTGACTTACGGCTTAAAATCTGGTCTGCCGAAGATGGAAATTGTCCTGTGACATTGAAAGGCCATACAGGAGGTGAGAACTGCCTCACTTTGTATTCAGTGGAAGTGCTATTGATTTACTTAATTTAATGTGTTGTTCTCTGAACTATAACAAGCTTAAGAAGCTATGATAGGCTCACACTTCATCAGTATTATTTCAACCTTTTAGAGTTTCAGCTCATTAAAAGATGCTGAAACTTTGCAGCCCCACTAATAATTATAATAAGTAATAATAGTTTATTTATATATCGCACGCATCCATTATTTGCCTGAGCTGCTTGCTTTAACCAGTTGATTGCAAACTAGGCTTTTTGATTGATTGATTGATTGATTGATTGATTGATTGATTGGAAGATTGATTGATTAATTAACTGACTGACTGATTGATTAGATTGATTGATTNTAACCTTATTTTTCTAAAGCACATATTTGTATTTGCAGTCAACCAAGCTTTTTATCAATTTCCATTGGAAGATTCCTGTTTAATTTTCATTTTCATTCTAATAGTATTTTGCTTTTGTAGGAGTTGTTGATACAGCAATAGTTGATCGAGGAAGGAACATTTTGTGTAAGTTATGTTACATACAGCAGGTTTTATCTGAGTGTTGAAAGGAACTACACTACACACATTTTCCCATGGTTTGCATCAGCTACATGTACATATACAATATATCTTTCAAATTTGGCAAACATTGATGTTCAATTTCTAAGAGTTTTGCGTGCAGCTGTGTGTAGAATAGACATGGTTAGGTAAAGTGGTTTGGTTTAAACAAGCTCACCTACATGTATGGCTCGCACAACTTTCAAGATTTCTCAAGCTCATCAAACCCCATCAAGTGTTTTGTTAGGTTCTTAGTCCTATTTATTTTATAGTCACCCGTAAAAGGATGCGGATAAATTTTCAAGTTGCACTCTCTGCGCTGATGCCCGGCTGTATTCTTGTTCTTGTTTGATTATATCAGCATGTTCTAGAGATGGAACTGTTCGTCTGTGGGATTGCGGAGAAGCCAAGTGTCTGGCAGTTGTGTCCAAAAGTGACTGTCCTGTAAATTCATGTGCATTAACAGAGCTTCATGGAATGGAAAACACATCGGAGAACCAAACAAGTAAGATTCCATTTACAACCAATAATGATCTAAGAGCCTCATTGTGCATTTTTGCTTTCTTCGCCTAAAAACTATTCTTTTGCAGGGACAATTTTAAAGTGGTAGGGCTAAAAAGTATTAGGGGTCACTGTTCAGACGTTTGTTACTTTCAGGTGGTAAACTTCATACATTTTCCATGTCATCTTGGGCGCTAAAAAAACGTGGCAGGGTTACAGTCCTACCAGCCCCTCCCCCTCTGCGGTCACTGTTTTGGACTAAACCCAGGAAAGGAATGAGGACCAGTAAAGGGATAGTCTGCTGCAGAACAGGCGTAATTTTTTGCGTATTTTAGGCGAACAGAGGCAAAAGCGAGGCGAGCGCCAAGCGCGAGTCGCGCGTGAGGGGAACAGCGCGAAAAAAATAACTTTTTTTTTTCGCGCTCGCCTCGCTATCGCCTAAAATACGCAAAAAAATTACGCCTGTTCTGCAGGCTAGTAAAGGGATTACGAGAGTGTGACTGGAGACAAAAAACAAGGAGGGATGGTAAATGGGAAGCGGAGTAAGCGTTTTCAGCTAACCCCGAGGTGCACCCCTCCCTAACCACCATCACCACCACCACCTCATTAATACATCGCTACCAGTCCCTTCTCTGCTAAATCTTGACTGGAATGCAGGCGTATCTTAGCGAGCGAGCGCATTTTGATCGGGCGAGTTCCGCGGCATAAAATGGAGGCTTGGAGAAATTGTTCATTTTTGAAAGGTTAACTGAACGGGATGCGGGATATTAAGGTCAAAAAGTAACGGTACATTGGATGCTCAGGTTCTTCCCCCGTAATGGGGCCTGACTGAACAGTCTATATTCTGATTATCAACTGCTACCATTCTGACTGTAAGCGAAATGTGGAAAGAGACAACAAGTGTTCAAAACAGTCTCAAAAGATTGAACACAGAGGGGAATGGTCGTCGTCTAGGTTATGTGATCTTTTCTGTATGAAGACACGTTTTACTCAAGTTGATATGCGGTTATTCGGTTACAATTAGAACTTCCTCCAATATAGCATTTTAGATCTGCAGTATTCTAATTCCAAGGTGAACGCGAGGTTGGAACTGAAGGAAAATTACTCCTGCTTGCAAAGGAAGACGGCTTTCTTGATGGTGTTGATGTGTATAATAGGAAAAAGGTACCCAGTTGTTTTGTAGAAAATGTTACTTTCAATTGTCTTTACAGCCAACCGGATATTTTAATTTTTAATTTCTCTGTAATATTTTTGCAAATGACTAAAATTGTCTCAAACGACGTTGTTTATTCCAACACTTTTTATCCGAATAGTATCTGGGCTTCAAATTTCCTTTGGAAACAACGCCCATCCAATTTCACAAAGTGGACATTGATATGTGATGTCGTTGTCAGCGTTTCGGGCGACTATTTTTTCTTATGATATTTTATTCTATTTTATTTCGCAAACAAAACTATGAGAATTTGGCTTGTAGGCTTTGAACTGAACTTTTTTTCGAAGAGAAATGTTTGATACTTTTCTGTTGCTTCAATGTTTAGGTTTTTCAGTTTAAGTGTCCGTCAGCCGTGAACTGCTGTGCATTTTTGTCGGAATATGAAGCTGTCGGTGGAACAGAGGATGGATGCCTGTGGATTTTGGACGTGAGATCTCCAAGGTTGGTAATGAACAGGGATGTAGGATATCAATTGAAAACCAGTGACGGATAGACGTGAAAAATACTTGTCTTTAGTTTGACGAACAGTCAACTCAAGTCACCTATTGCCCTGAGCTATGGTGAGACTTAAATTTACGAGTCATCGATGAAGATTTTTCCTTCCCTTCGGAATACACCAGCGAAAATTGGTAGAAAGTAACTTTCTCACACACCGCTACTAGCCATGTCAAGCTACCCGCCGCCGCCTGGCCATTATTGCAAAATCAAAGCTAATACAAGTAGCATCACGCTTAAGACTGGAAATGACGAAAAAGTTCAAGGTTTGTGCATTATACTGGTATAATATGAAAACTTAAAATCTTTGGGTGGGCGGGAAAGTCGGCAATGGCAGACACACCAAAAACAACTGCCCGCCCCAAAGGTCACATGACCTATACCCAGGCCCCAGCGGCGTGTGAGAAAAACGTTTTTGACTTATTTCATTTCACTCAGCCAGTGAAAAATTACTCTTGGGTTTTCCACGGTGCATGTGTGTACACGAGATCCGGGAACAAGACTACATGTGCTGTGTTTTAAAAATAAACAGTCCAATCAGCTTAGCCATTGAACTGAACAATCCAGTGTAGTCTTGTTTGAAATAGACTGTCAAATATATCGTAAACTATTTCGATAAATGATATAATTGAAGTGTCATGCGGTCAGCATACAAACGATCGCCTTACCTATCATAAATGTTCATCACGTTGGTAAGGTTGTGAACTTTTTTGAAACTGCTACAGTGTTACCATAGTGTCGCCATTATCATTGTTGAGAGCTAACCGAAAATAGGCTCTCCTGCAGAGTGTTGTTTGAACTAACCTGGACGCTATTAAGGCTAACCAGAGCGCTATTTACAGGAAGTTAATCGACACCCTGATAGGCTACTAAACGATATGCTATTTAGGCTAACCGGAATCGGCTGTTTAGACTGACTTGTAGAAAGTTATTTGGGCTCAACTCGAAGTCCAACCAGCTGGAGAATCCTAGCTAATGTTTCTTTATTCTAGTTGAATTCAAGCTAAATCTTTCATCACCCTGACGGACATTTCTTGCAACTAAACTACAACGGCTCGAAAAATTCCAGCTTAATACAGAACCTGAGGACATCTTGGGTTTACCGATCAGGAGGCTACGAGACACAACGTGACAAACGAATCCAAACACACGTACACAAAAATTCAAAATAAAGAACAAACGCCCAAGGAAAAGCTTTGAGTTACAAACGTTAAAGAGCAAAAGACTAAAACAGGAAAAGTAATAGAGAAAAAAAATTAATGCAGATTTGAAATCAGGTTCTTTAGTTGATGATTTATAGATGGACACCAAAACAGAGTATCCTCAACCTGAAGAGCTCTCGGGCTGAGGGTAGCCTGTTTATCAGCGTTCTTTTATTACCCA